TCTTTCCCTCGGCTAATTTGAAGATACAGATTGCAACCCACAAGTGGTTTTAAGAGTCGCCGTGAACACCCTCGCTGCACACTACTGCATTTTAAACATGTTTCCAACACAATCAGAATGTCACAATTTGTAAAATCTGGGGTGATTTCATAACTGATCGATGCAGCAGAACTCGCTTCATCACAGCAGCTACCGGCCAGTTCATTAGCCTGATGAGTGGTAGCTACCTGTACAGAGAAGGAAAAAATGCCTGAAAAGACTGGATAAACTCCAGCGCGAGGATGAAGATGACGTCCCACCCTGCCTTTTACACTTGTTTCTCCTTCCATCTATACTTGGCAGAGGAAAAGACCTGGAGCTTGAACTTCCATGCCCCTCTGGCAGCCGCTCCATCGCAGCAGCGCAGCCCTCGGCACCACTCACAGGAATTTTTGGCTAATGCCAGCGTTGTCCTTCACCCAGCCAAAGGGTAAGGCTGTTCCCTGGGCAACAGCCTCACAAACAGAGCTGACCCTCCCGGCTGCCAGAAAGCTCCCCTGTTTGCCAGGGCGGGGAGAGGGGCTCCAGCGCACCCTGGCCGCAGGGCGGCAGAGCCAAGCGGGACAGAGCTGGGGCCAGAGCCTGGTGTCAGTGGAGCACGCAGGAGGTGCTGGCAATGTCACCTCCCCCCAGTGGCACCTGGAGTCTGCTTTTGGTCTTTCTGGACTCTTAGTTCCTCCCCCTTAGATTCATCAAGGAGCTTACATGACGATGTCAATACAAAGAGAAATGTTACAGTTTGCATGTAGAAAAAACAGGCTCTAAAATAATAATTAACCAATAAAATAAACTCACTGAATTCCTGGAGAAAAAAAATAGGAACACGTGTTGCCTCTCATCTCATCTTAACGGTTGGACTCCGTGATCTTAAAGGTCACTTCCAACCTGAACGATTCGATGACTTTCAGCACACATCGAGGGGAAAAGCCCTTTGTGGAAAAACCAAACCACTTCAGGGCAGTTTCCATCCGCAGCTCCCAGCTCCAGTAGTTGTGGAGCTTTTTTCCAGAGCAGACACTGGAAAGATGTTTCTGAAGGAGGAACCCATCTCTGGGGCTCACGGCTCGGGTCTCACTGGGCATTGGGGCTCCCCAGCGCTATTCAGCTCCTCCTGAGCAGAAAAAGCTGACCTGGAGCTGCCGGAGCAGAGCACAAACACCAGCGCTCCCCGGTGCCCGCACACCTTGAGAAGCATGGGACAGAGCAGGGATCACCTTGAGGTGTGCAGGGAAGAGACGAGTGTCTTGCAGCAAGTCCAGGCAGGACAACACACCACAGGCCTATTTCTAATGGCCCTGCAGAGTCTCCTGCCGGCCCTGTGGAGCCCAGCCAAGGCAGGCACCGGTTGAAGAGACCACCAGTGAGGTGGGTGGGCAGGAACTGAACTCGCTGCAGCACAGCCAAGAACTTCAGTGCGAACAAAACTCCAGGATTTGGGGCATTTTAGCAAATGTAGATTTTCTTGCCCTTATTCCGGGACAAGGCAGCTGCTGGGGCTGCCCAGCCCTGTCGATGGGTTGCAGTTGTGCTGCAGGACAGGCTGACGTTCCCCAGGACAAGGCGTCCACGCAGGGCCCCCTGTGCTGCCGGGCCCTCGGAGAGGGACAGCACAGAAAGGGACAGAGACAACAAACCCCAGGTCAGGGACTTGCAGATTGGGCTGCAAAAGCCTTGGATAAACAGGGCACAGAGATGAACACCAGGATGCACCAGCATGGCTGATGTGCGCCACATTAATCTGCCAGGTCAAGAAACAGTTCAAGAGAAGAAAACAAGAGATACAAACAGAAGCAGGCAGAAGATTTGCTGAAACACACTGACAGGGGCCACATCTCCCAGTACCCACCAAGCCCAGCTGGCAGCAAACCACGTTAGAGCAGGGACATGGGGCCCTTGTGCCCAGCACAAAAGCACCACATAATGTGGCTCTTCAATGCAACAACCAACCTGTCAAGATCCTGAATGGAGAAGGGCATTTATGGCCCATTTAAGAGTGGTTGCGAGGAGAAGGGTGGAAAATTCCCTGGTTATAAAAGGAAGTTGTCAGGGGTTGAACTTTCCAAAATATACTGAGAGTTTTGAACACTTGGTTCCTGTTGGTTCCTGATGGGTACTGGCTGTGAAGAGCTTATCTTTCCAAGCAAGTCTTTCGGTGGCTGGTGCTGAATTTTCCAGGGTACTACGATGGGCTCAGCACCAGGGAGGGCACCGCTGGGTGGGTGGAAGGCGACCCTGGAGCCTGCCCAACTCACCCAGCCACCCGCACACACCGAGGCAGCAGCCGAGCACTGTGAGCTGCTCCCCTCTCCCCTTCCTGGGGCTCCCATTGCTGCCTGGCTCCTTTACACCTCCTGGCAGCCTCGCTGAGCAAATGGGATACACACACTGCTCCAGGAGCCGAGACAAAAACTGCATCAATCAAACCAGCTCCCGCAACGAGGCCGGAGCACGAAGGGCAAACGGCAAACCTGGGGCCACACGTCCACGGCGTCACACGGGGGCACGAGCCACGAGCTTCCAAATGCACTGTGGGAAAGCAGGGAGAGCAGGGGCAGAAAACCAGTCCTGTTTGGAGAGAAGGGACAGGGAAGCCCACCTCCAGTGCAGTTCCTGGTGCCACTGAGAGAGCCCAGGTAGGTTTTATCCTGCCCAGGCTGCTCTGTGTCTGGAGCCCAGCATCCCTGCTGCAGTGATAACGTGAACCACTTGCAGAGAGACAGGGGAACACCATTTATTTCCGCTGAAAGGGACGGCCATACCATTGAAAATAATCCTCAGCTCATTTTCACAGAACTGTACAACAAGCAGTGATGAAACCTTGTCTCTCTTGTGAAATACGTGGAGGGAATTCCTCTTCTGGAGGTCCTGCTTATTCTCAGCCACCATCACCAGAGGACAAGCAGTCCTCAGCTCCAAAACTCCAGCATACTTGAAACCCCAGCAAAGGGCTTTACTGCCTTAATTTCCTCGTGTCCCAGCTTAACTGGCCTTACGCCCAGCTTAATCAAATGCTAGCCACCTTGGTACAAACCCTCAGCTTCCCTGCAGCCCCACCACACCATCTCTAGGGATGCCACAGAGCCTGAGAACGGTCAGAAATGCCCACAATGACCAGGAAAGACATCTCTCAGAAGGAAATCCACATGACATAGCATTACAGGCCAACAGTCCCGTCCCCTGCAACACCTGCTGGGCAGCGGGATTTGACACCACCGCATTTAGCCACTGGGCCACCACACTGACGCCGATTTTTGGCCATGCTCACCAGGCAGAAGCTGTGACAAAGGAGATGGCCGAGCTCCCGTTCTCTCTTACCTCTATGCCTGTTGGTCGTCTTGTCAAACATAAGCATGGCGTCCTCTACCTGCAAGACAGAAGAGGGGAGATGCGTGCTTTAACACATCGGCTGCGCGGTTCCCAAACACACAGCAGACAAACTGGGAAGGGGGACACAGCCAGGAGCAGCCTCAGCTTGGGTACGAACGAGGCCTCAGATCTCCTCGCTTTTGCTCAGAGGCAGCGCTCCCTTTTGGAAGTCTGCTGCTTTCAACCCCTGCCCTAGCTGACTTTTGATCCTAAAGCAGAAAAGTGAACATTAGAAGTCCTGTTGCCCTAAAAAGCCAAATATCTAAGCAGCATTTCCATCTCTCAGTCCCTGGCCATGCCTCATCTCAGCCTTTTTTTTTCCCTTTCGTAGAGAGATAAGGAATGGCAAGAGAGGAACCGTGGATGCAAATCGAGCCCACGACTTCTCCAAATCAGAGTCACTGTCTTGGCTGAGAATTCAGAGGTTACGAGAAGTATGAGCAGGGTAAAATCTGGTCAGCCAAGAAAGGTATTCAGAGGTTTTCAAAAGGCCTTTTGAAAAGCTGGAGGAAAGAGGAGAGAGGGAGTGGGGAGAAAGTTTAATTCGCATCAGGCCTGGCATTTCCACTTCAGAAGAGAGATGACTGATGAAACGTATTGAAGTGCAACCAAATTGCTTTCAACTTTCATTACTATTTGCATGATTTATTCCACCTCCATTTAATCTGCGCAGCCACACCTAAAATTTTACACTTATTTCGGAAGGATGTTGTGCTGGCGTTTATTTCCCAGCATGGTCACGTTTTAAACCGTCACTGTGGGAGCTGGGGCAGGTCGGTCCTGCAGGAAACGTCCTGGGCAGCCTTTCTGAAAAGAAATTACAGCCTCGCTACTCCCTGCTCTAAACCAGGGGCTGACGAAAACCTGCACCATCGCTGCTTTGCAGACCATCTTTAAAGAGAAGGTGGAGTGTAGCTGGTCTGCAGTCCTCTCATGCCGGGGAACACACACCCAGCTACTTCTGCAGTCACAGTCTCTGCTGGGCAGAGACACATCTTGGGAAGGTGGTAAAAACACAGCTTGAAGCTCTCTTAACTATGGGCCTGAAGTACATTCCTGGGTATAGTAAAAAAATACAGGGCAGCAAAACCTTATGCAATGCCTAAACTCATCTAAAAACCCGTCTCTGGTTAACTTGTTCTTAACTTCTTCAAAGTGGTTTGCAAAATGTGTTAGCAACGGCCTGAGATGGTGGAGAACAGCATGTCTCCTTGATACCCATCTTGAATGAGACCTAAAGATGCTGATGCACTGAAAATCCAAACCACATTAAGCACAGAGCCATTTGTCCTGCTGCCTTTCCTCACTCCAAGGAAGAAAACTCACAACTATGAGTAATATCAGAAGGCAGATAAGGACAGAGCTGCCCTTTACCTACCACTGCTGCTTATCTCTGCTCCAGGGTTATATTTGCACAGCAATCTTTATTTTTCATTCTCACAGGTCTTGGCCCCACTGGAACCAAAAATTACACGTTGCACCTTGTGCTGTTTCCTAGAGCATCGCAGCTTCCTCCGCCTCCCGCCACGCGAGCGCGCTGACCACCCGTCTGCTCCCACGGCCATCGCTGCGGCAGAGGGTGCAAGGTGCAGCTCTCCCAGTGTAACCCTTCTGCCTGCAGTTCCCCAGCGGAGCCCTGAGAGGTCTCGGCTGTGCTGCAGCACAGAGCCCACCAGCCCAGGGGAGTCCTCTGCCCCCCACCCAACAGCTGCCAGAGGCTCTCCTGGCTGGATCCACACATTTCAACTTGACTTGTCCTCCTGCAAGGGCATGAACTATCAGGGACTTTCAAAAAGCTGTCTGTGCTGCTGTTAGGGGGAGAAGGGATGTAAGGGGAGGCACAACAGAACTCTAACGCTGCTTTATCATTGAACCACTACGATCGGAAAAGACCTCTAAGATCATCAAGTCCAACCATCAACCCAACTCCACCATGCCCACTAAACCATGTCCCAAAGTGCCACATTCACACATTTTTTGAACACCTCCAGGGATGGAGAATCCATCACTTCCCTGAGAAGCCCCTTCCAGTGCTAGACAACTCTTTCAGTAAAGAAATTTTTCCCAATCTCCAATCTAACACTGCCCTGGCACAACTGGAGGCCACTTCCTCTCATCTCATTGCTTTTTACTTGGGAGAAGAACCAACACTGGCCTCACTGCAAGCCAAGAAAGCCAGGATTTAGCACAGCCGTGTCTCAGCCTGAAGCCTCCCAGCAGGCTGGCTCCTGAGCAGAACCCTCTCTTGGGCTCAGCCGTGGCCAGCAGCAGCACCACATCTGAGGGTTTGAGCCCTTGTGCAGCCTGGCTCTGCCCCTCCAGTGCCGGGTGACAGTGGGGTGGACAGGGCCTGGCACGGGACCAGGCACTGGTGGGGTGAGAGGGTCAGTTCCTGCTCATACTGAGGAGCTGCTCTGCTCTCCTCTCCCACCTGCACAACACCACACGTCGTCTTGCCTACCAGATCCGGGCAGACAACGCTGTGTGCCACGCGTACCAAGGCCCTGCTTCGCTGGAACGATCTTGGCAGAGATCTTTTCTAATGCAAATCAATCATTATTAGCAGTGACAAATGCAGCCAGTACGGGCTCATCCAGGAGGTTCTCATTGCGCTGGCTGGGACCTCGAGGTGCACAGATACCCCAGGGGTGGGTGGTTCACCCCCCTCAAGCAGCGATGCCTGCTCCTGGGATCAGAACCGGGTGTGCAGCTGCCTGCAAAAGGGTCGGCCCCTACAGTTCTCATCTGAAAACCCGAGTTTCAGATGTGGCCCAAGCACGCCTTTAAGAAGAAATAATCAGTGGGGTGTTCTTGAAGCCAGCTGGTGCCCTTTCAACAATGTCTAATTGGTTATCTTTTCTGTTTCCTAAGGTCAGAACATTTTATCTCCGTCTCTGCCCTTTCTGAGTCTACCCCACCCTGCGTTATTTTTTAGGGCAGGCATTGTCACAGAAGAATAGCCTCTTTCCTCCATAGTCCGGTGACACAATGAGACTCCTTGAAACCTCCTGAATAGATAAAGTGCAGTGGCAAAAGGAAAATTCTATTAACGCTTTGCAAAATAAAACATCTAAGAGCCGGTTAGACAAGCAAGAGAAGCAAATCAATATGGAGAGGGCAGCGTGCTCAGAAAAACTTTTCACCAGTTGCAAAAAGGTGGCGAGGGTACGGGAGGGAGGGGGAGAAAGAAACTTATTAATTCAGCAAACCCATCAATGGTATGGAAATCTGGCAGAACAGCAAGAACTGAAACTAGAAGAATTTGAATATACAAAGGGCTGAATAGAATGAGAAAACCACACTGCCTCACACACACAGCCCGTTTCTCACGGTTCTCTGTGAATCAAACACAAGCGGCTTGTTCAAGTTTTCATCAAGGAGAAAGAAGGGACACAGTCAAGGTAACTGGCAGTAAACCCTGTAGTAAGCAAACTGATCCCTATTTCAGGAGAAGGACAAAAAAAGAACCAACCCACAGATGAAACTCAAGTGCATTCAGGAGCTGTGACTGTCCACAAGTTAACCCCCTCCAAGGAGCCAACCTGAGGCTCCTTCGCTTGCCCAATATTTTAAAGATGCTTGAACTCCAAGTATTTCAGGTCTCAACTCAAATGTGCAACCAGTACCTTGCTGAAAAGAGAGAGACGCTTTCTCCAGGGGCAGAAACAGGACTGGGAGACGCAGTCGCCACCTCCAAGGCCTGGTCGCCCACCGTGCGCCCGCAGCTGAACCCCGTTATCAGCCACACATCGTCCGGGCACGGCAAAACCGCTACTCACCAGTAAAGAGCTGAATTCCCCAGTAGGGGAGTGAGGTGCTGAGCCACACCAAGCACAGGGCCACCTCCCTCCCAGCGCACTGGGAAAGCTCCTGGTGATCCAAAAAGTGTGCATCGCTCTTCAGATACGGCATGGCTCAACATGGAGGCTTACAGGAGCTGATTTATCTGAACTGAGGACCAAATGTGTTACAAAATGAACACGGTCTTAGCACTTAAGGTAAATAAAAAGGGAAGAAAAAGAGACTTGCCAGATACTGTGAGTTAGAAATGGTCACTTAAGCCCACAAGAGTTCTCCTCTGTCCCAGCATATGCCACACATATACCCAATTTAGACCCAGTTTCTTATATAAAGCCTAACTAATGGGCTTTAGTTTATTTAACTTTTTTTTTTCCCATCCACTTGGGGCTCTGAGAAAAGGAAGGGCTATACCACTTCATTACTCACTGCCTGGAAGGAGGAATGCGGGAGAATAGGAGGGAAGAAAAAAACTGGAGGAGCCAAGGCTTTAATAATCCTAACAGTTCCCAGGGTTATTTAAAATATGCCCAACCAGTTCACAAAGGGCTCCACAGAGATAAATGTATTTGATTTTCTTCCACTTTAATGGAGGCATACATTTAAAGCAACAAAACCAGGGTGACCTAAATAAAATGACTATTAATTGTACTCAAAGAGGCCCTGAATTTAATGCAACTGATCCAGCGTGGCACCAGAACACACAATGTTCTCCCTCCATTCCTCCCCCTTTCCTCTTCAGGGTTTTCACCTCCTCTCTGTTCTGCAGGGCAGCCCTGAGCAGCCAGAGGTGATCAAACTCGGCACCGCTCACACCTTAATGAAGGGCTGAGCTGGCTGAAACGGGGCCATGGCGCTGCCGAAACGGGGACACGGCGCCACCACGAACGCTGAGGGGACCAAACCGGGACATCTTCTGGAAGACTTCACGCCTCATCTTGGATCTCTACAGCCACGCAATGGACCAGCAAACGCAAGAGGTGACCCAGGAACACACACCTCCATTTACACAGTGCCTGCACGCACCCGGGGTAACAGCAGCCACTGTTTCGCATCTCCCAGTTCTCTTTTCTCCTCCATTTGAATCAAGTTTAGTCATGGAGTAAAAACCTCCATGGGAAGCCACCATAACTACAGCGAATGGATGCACAGCAGACTTTGTGCCTCACACTCCTCCTCATCCACCCCAGGAAAGTTTGT